TTTTTGCAATGGTCAGGTACAGCCTCAGTCTTTGTGTAAATATGTTTTTCACAAGTTTCAACCATTTTTTTTTCCCCCTAAATCTTTGGCTTGGTATATTATTATGAACAAGATTTCAGAAAATACACCAATTATAACTTAATTAGAATCACAGAATGGTTTGCGTTGGAAGGGACCTCAAAGATCACTTAGTTCCAACACCTCTGCCATGGACATGGACACCTCCCAGTAGACTGGGTTGGTCAGAGCCCTGTCCAGCCTGGCCTTGAACACTGCTGGGGATGGGACAGACACAGCTTCTCTGAGCAACTTGTGCCAGTGCCTTACCACCCTCATAGTAAAGAATTTTTTCCTAATATCTAATCTAAATCTCCCTCTGTCAGTTTAAACCCATTCCCCCTTGTCCTGTCGCTACATGCCCTTATAGAAAGTCTCTCTGCAGATTTCCTGTAGGTACCCTTTACACACTGGAAGGCTGCTCTAAGGTCTCCCTCTAGCCTTCTCTTCTCTAGGCTGAACAAATCTAACTATCTCAGGCTGTCTTCATAGGAGAGGTGCTCCAGCCCTTTGTGGCCCTTCTCTGGGTTTGCTCCAACAGCTCCATCTGTCTTACACTTGGGGGCCCCAGAGCTGGATGCAGTACTGCAGGCGAGGTCTCACAAAAGCAGAGTAGAGAGGGAGAATCACCTCCCTCAACCTGCTGGCCATGCTCCTTTTGATGTAGCCCAGAATACATTTGACTTTCTGGTCTGCAAGCATACATTGTCAGGTCAGCCTTAACAGGTTTAAGCCACTCTCATGCATTTTCATTTTTTAAGAAACCATTTCAGTGGTTATGATACTGTGTCAAGGGAGAATCATGGCCATGTTTGTCAACCAACAATCTGACAGATCATACAACTGTAATCATGGCCAGGGTTGAATTACCTCAGAGCTATGTCTGGAAAGGCAGGTATCTGGGGTGAATGATAGTTACGGTGTTTCTTTCAACATTTTAGAATACTTAAACCAATTCATTCCTCAAGTAATTCAGTTCATAGTTCCCATATGTTAGAAATTATTTTTTTTTTATGTCTACTGCTTTATTTATGCTATATGTACGTTTCCCAAGCAAAAGTCTCGTCTCCAAATGTGTTTTAAATCTCTGTACTAAATGACAAAAGGCCAATACAAAGGCCAATATTTAGGTGTCAAGACAATAATAGTTTCAGGTGCTTAGCATGACTGAAACTCAAGTATTTCTCCTGCAGTTACATGACTAAACATCCAGTCTGGAAAATTTTGTACAATGTGGCTCTTGAATCTTTTCATTTCTAGCTGCCTCATTAAGAGACATCATTCACCAATACAACTACCTGTTTAAAATAGTCTAGTTTTTCCATCTGATTGGAAAAGGAGCCACTTTTGGTCAGTGTAGTGCCCCAAAGTAAACCTGTTTGCTGGATGACTCATGAGTTCCCTAAACTGTGGACATGACTGTGAATTATCTCCCTGCTTACATTGTTTCCCTGAAATTGGTTAATGACCATTTTAATGACTTTTCAATGACACCTTGAGGCTAATCATTTTTTTTATTTTTTCTTTTTCCACTTCAAAAAACCCAATACACATCTGTAACTGCTTACACCTGGGTATGTTAGTCAGAACTTCCCTGCTGAGGTGTTTGCTTAGGAACAAGAGCACAATTTATTTGTGCAGCAAGTAAAAAACCGTAAGCTGTCTGCACATCTTATGTGTGCTGATTTAGAAACCATGTAATTTAAATAACTCAAGGTAGTTTTTATCCAGTGATCCTCTTGCCAAACTAATATAAAAGCTGACAAAAGCAGCATCTGAATGTTGATGTATATGGAAAAGGTCCATTCTCACTGGATAGAACTGGGTGTAAATGTGTGTTCACTACCTGGGTTCTCTGTCCCACTTTACTTATGCAGGAGTTATTCATGTGTACCCACAAAAGCAGGGACAACAAAATCCTGAACCTTAAAAAGCTCTATGAATTTCTGTCTTCATTTAAAGAAACAAAACGAAAATGAAGATGCAAGAAATGTAGAACTTCCATACGAAAATAATCCTTACAGCACTGTAAATAGGTAGGTATATTTATATACATGTATGTATACATGCATACATACCTGTAACTTTATCAGTTCAGAAGAAAAAGTTCTGAATGCTTCTAATTCTGTATGTATTGCATTTAAAAGTCATTAGATCATCAGATTATGTCCTGATTTCTACATGGATCTATGAAAATTATTCTGTTGTTCCTGGTAAATCCTGCACAAGAAAACACCTTATTTTACTCAAGCTTGCAGTGCTCAGAAAGGCGCTCATTGTAACTTCTTTGTGTTGTGCTCATCTTGTTGAAAGCAGCCAACTATGTTCTCTTGTCCAATCTAGGAAGAATCTGGAACTGTCTGTGATACACTGATCTCTCCAGCTGGGCATATTCCTTTATGTTCTAATTAGTGTTTTTTTGTTCAACACCGTGTTTGCTTTCTCATGTATTCATGGCCTCACCCCTTCATTCCCCTAGCCAATATTTTATCATTGACATTTTATGGCTTCCACAGCACTGTTGTGAAGAAGTTCTAAAATTAATAAAAGTGCAATAAATTGCTGGGCATAAAGTTTTATAGCCAACAGATATTTTTTATCCACCTTGACAGAAACCTAGATCTCTCTCTCTATCTATATATAGACATATATATATAGCCTACCTATCAAAGATTTCAGACCATTGCTGTCTTTACTCCCATGGTAGCTACCAGGTTTTGCCTACGACAATATGCAATTCTTAGAAAATACATGGTAATTACATTGTCTATAGAAGCCCTAACTACTTGCTATGGAAATAAAAACTCGACCACATATGTATTTGTTCAACGACACTGAAAGTGCCGTCTCTAGGAAGTATACGTAGAGGCGATTAGATTGTACTGTATACTTTTAAGCTGAATTATGTACTCTTGTAAAAACACTCTTCAAAATTATTTAACTTCCCATGCTATAGTCTCAGAAGGTGAAAAAAAAATCTTTAGTGTTATCTTTTCCTGTCACGTGACTAGTGCAAACACACAAAAAAATTCTTATCTTTTTGTTTCTTTTCTGGTACTTTCTAAAACAGCATAACCGGTTTAGTGCCCAGACATTAAAGACTCCACTTGGAAAAGATTGAGGTTATATATTCCACTCTAAATGTTTCCACTATATAACAGGAAAGATTTAGCCATAAGGGTCTTCCAGTGTGTGATGGCTGAGGATTTTGGAGTTTGTTTGAAAAATGAACCCTTCCCTACTGGAGACAGTGGTGCCATCAAATCAGAAGAGCCCTCTACTCTTTGTAGGACTTGGAGAGTACTGCTTGGACTCGGAAACATGTGTAATGGAGCATCTTTAGGCACAGAATAATAAAATTCCTCCATTTAGGTGTACTATCCTAGCACATGTCCTGCAACTTAGCAGCTGTGGTGAACAGTTTGATCTTAACCTGCCAATCATGTCAATAAAATACTTGATGCATGTTTCAAACGTTTTAGGTGTATTTGAGCAATCAATGTACAGGCTACTTGAGAAATAGGTGCCATATAGATTATTCAACTTTGATCTATTTCTTTGATTTAGCACTGCAATTAGGTAGATTTGGTTCAAAGAGAAAGCTCATTGGTTGATGTTTTACACTGATGTGATAATGTTTACACAGATGTGCTTTGAAATCTTGATTATGGTGGATTTTTGGGTCCCACCACATGACAGGCTCCTGTTATCTGAAAGGTAAAATAATATAACATCTATCTGTAACTGCCCTCAGAGCAGGTCCGCCTGTGCGCTCCTCTGAGGTGATTTATCTGATCATTGTATTTAGCGTTAGTTTTTTCAGTTTTAAATCCCTCCACAGTAAATCACTTGCTTTAAAGCAACCTTTTTGTAATTCAGGTGCACACAGGGGCAGTACTGAGGACTGCAATGATGAAAAGGTGTAGCATTACCTGCTTTAAAGCACCTGCCAATTAATTAGCCCTGTACTCTCCATAGCAAATAAAGCTAAGCAGGCAAATCCATTTGATCTCTCAGATTTAGACTGTGACTGAAAAGACCACGGAGCAAGACAGGAGAACTAATCTTTCATGATTCTCTGCAACTTTTTTGTTTAAATGAAATCTTAAACCGCCAAGTGATTCTCTTTTGAACTTTTGAAAGAAAAAACTATGAGAGATCTTTGCATTTTATACTGGCAAGAAACTGCATTGCATATATTGAACGCTAGTTTGAGTCCTAAAATTCATTACATGTTACAGAAAAAAGCAGCAAAGAAGGGAAAGTCAAGCTCTTACTTTTTTTTTAACCATTGCTAATAATGAACACGTGTTCCACCAATGCATTTATGTGCATGAACCATTCTACTCTGGGGATGAAAAAATGCATATGTGCATCTGGAACAGGACAGCAAAGTCCTAAATTGATTCAAACCACTGTAGGAAGACAACAGAGATCTTTCAGTAGATGATGTTATTGCTCATTTGTGATGCTCACAGACCTTGGTTACGGGCCCAATGCAAAACCCCAAAGAAGATGGATTAGGGGAGCCACCTCTCAATCTTTCTTCTCTGTAGGTTTTGAGAATATTTATCCCAAACCACGACATCATGCCCATTTCTGTCTTTAAGACGATGTGTCGATACCCAGGCCCTATAAATCGGTTTCATGTCACATTAACGATAAATTAAATGCGAGGGAGAATTTGCAGAGGGGAAAACACCTTCCCGACTATGCCAATTTCTGTAGAAATTCCCCTCCTTGTAGCTGAAGCGATAAAAGGGAAGGGTAATGCATGTACATTTTATTAGCGTTTTAGAAACAGGGAGTAAAACTGTCAGATCTTTGTGTTTTTCCTTTCATGTGTGTCTGGGCAGGTCTAACCCTCAGGTAACGCCCTTTCTCCTTCTTCCCTCCTGCCTCTCCTTGCACCTGTCCACGTAATGCTCCGGCAGCTCCCGCCCGGGCCCCGTTCCCGCCTGCCCGCCCCCCGCTGCCCGCTCAGCTCCGTTCCTCCGCCTCCCCGATGACTGGCTGCGTTCGGCGGGGCGTGGGGGCTGCTCCCGGAGCTCCCTCCCCGCCGCCGTCTCAGATCAGAGGAAGGTGCGAGGAGAGGGGGAGCCGGTTTACAATTTCAAACGCAGCCTCCCCGCAGAGGGCTTCATTAGCATATGTCAGGGGGACCGCCGTATATATATATATACACACGCGGGGCGTATAAACACCACCGCGCCTCCTGGCTCACTCGACTCGGCTCGGCTCAGCTCAGCACGGCTCGGCCCTGCCGGCTCCCCATGCTTGGGGCCCCGCTGCGCACCCCCACATGCCCTCCGGGAGAGGCCGGCAGCCGCTTTCCGCCGCCGTGCCCTAGCCCGCTCGCCCCGCTCCCCCATGGCTCCCCTGGCCGAGGTGGGGGGCTTCCTGGGCGGCCTGGACGGCCTGGGGCAGCCGGTGGGCGCCCACTTCCTGCTCCCGCCCGCAGGCGAGCGCCCGGCTCTGCTCGGGGACCGCCGAGCCCCGCCAGAGCGGGCAGCCCGTGGCGGCGCGGCAGCGGCAGCGGCGGCAGCAGCGGACCTAGCGCACTTGCAGGGCATCCTGCGGCGGCGGCAGCTGTACTGCCGCACCGGCTTCCACCTGCAGATCCTGCCCGACGGCAGCGTGCGCGGCACCCGCCAGGACCACAGCCTCTTCGGTAGGCGGCTGCGGCACGGCCCCGGTCGCGCTCTGCCTGCGGGCCTGCGCGGGAGCGTGCTCCCGCTCGTGTCCGTGTGTGCGCGCGTGTCCGTGTGTACATGTATCTCCCATGCTAACGGGAAGGCGGTGCGGGACCGGTGGTGCTGGGCAGGGGTACCGGCGGGATAAGCGACATCAAACCTTGGGGCTGCAGCAGGGCAAAGGGGCTGCGCATCCTTTGCCGGGCTCCGCTGCTGCTTGGGTGGCTGTCACTGCGGTCATGCGCCTGCAGGTTTAGTGGGGAGGGTCGAAAGTCCGACCGACTTTTTCTGTGTTCCGTGTCTGTATCGCAGCTGCTTGAGTCTTTGTAGAATAATACAGTTCCTGGGCATCCTGATGCTTAGGCTGGGTTAGGCTGCTTTGGTTTGTAGGGTGGAAAGTTGAAGCAGAGGGGCCTAAAATACCTCCTTGCTCAAATCCGTAACATGCTTCCCAGTCAACTTTCTCCGTCAATAAACCAAAAGCCGGTGAAGGCAACCCCAAAATGTAAATGCTTCCTGTGATATAGGGGTAAATCCTAGGTAGTAGTCGTAGGAACTGGACATCTGAACAAACCTGCCATTGTCAAGTACATGTGAGTTTTTGTGTGTATTGATTTAGCAGTTGTAAAAAGGTGATTAAAGAGTTTCCTATCCTCCTCTCTATAGTCAAAACAATCTGCTGGAATAGCTCTTAATTGCTTTTATAACACATGGGTGTTTTCAGAAGTAAAAGAGCAGTAGTCAAACAGACAGTTCTTCTCAGAAAGAAGATTTCCTACAGCGTGTAAACATGAAATAAATCTTTGCTTTAAAAGGAAAAAAAAAAAGAAAAAAGAAAAAAGCCCCAGATCAAACATTTACTGGGCTTTTTAGAAATGTTCTTCCTTTATGCTACCACTATTCTCGGCAGGTTTGTCTGATGTGGTTGCTTTGTGGGTTGAGTCACCTGCTTATTAGAGTTTGAAAAAGGCTGGCTTAGAAAATTATACCAGAAAGACAAAATACCTCCACCTCTTTTTATGGGACTTTGTCCTTCAGGACCTGGAAGACTGGGATGATTTACGTGCAGCAGAGTTTGTGATGCTTACTCTTTGTAAAGGATTTACTTTCTTTGCTGCTTGGTAATATAAATAAGAAACCTGCAAAGCTCAATTAAAATTCAAAACATTTTAAATTGTCATATAGTCCAGACAGTCCATCTGTGTGAGAGTGAAAAGTGGTCGTAAATGATAAGAGTAACTATAAACACAGCAAATAGACAAATGTCATTATCAAATGCACTACTTAAACCCACTTATCTTAGATTCAGACTTTTGTGGTTTTGGTGCTGCACAGCAGAATCTCAGGTATGATTCTGGAACAACTTCTTTTTGAGGCTTTGTTTACACTGCTAACAACTTCCAAAAAGCCAGTTCACACATTCCCTTTCTTTCATGTTTTGTATGTACTGTAATCTGTGCATATCAATTGGTTAAATATGTCGGTATACCCTTGCCAAATTCAGGCTTCAAATAGTGCCTCATCTCTTGAATACTTTATATTATTAATATATATTACATTTTGGGGCAAATGCATTATTTATATTACTATAACTCAAACATTAGCAAATAAGCAGCATATTTCATGCACATAAAAAGCCTGCACTGAAGACAGCAAGTTGTGTCAGGAGGTGTGGGCCCATATGCTAGATAAGATGTCTGGCAAATACTTTTTTTTTCCTGTGGGTAGATTCTGTTATATAAAATTCCCATCTGTACTTTGATTTCCATTCAAATGATCTGATAATGGGTGTGTTTTTTTTAAGATAACGCTATAGAGAAAGTAAAGTATATGTTCAGGTAATTCAAACCTATCTTCCAATGTTTGAGTAGGCAGTTTAGCAAATAGTGTGTAATCAATATAGACTCCAGCCGCATAGTACTGAAGGCTTTAGTGTCAGCACTGAGTAAAATCCTTGCATATTCAGTGTTAAAAAAAAACCAGGTTCTTAAATGGTGTAGGGTTCTTGTTCCTAGATGCAGCTTCTCAGGTGCTTTCCTGTGCATGTTCAAATGAAATATTTGAAATTTCAGAGAAGCTAAGCCACATTTACTATCACATGTAAATTTATTTTCTACTTATTTTTCACTTATTGTTTTCTACTGTGTTTTGGATGATACATATTTTATGCTTACAGGTTGAACTAAAGCCATCTCATTTTTTCAGGCATCCTTGAATTCATCAGTGTGGCAGTGGGACTGGTCAGTATTAGAGGTGTGGACAGTGGCCTTTATCTTGGAATGAACGAGAAGGGAGAACTTTATGGCTCTGTAAGTGCCACTTTCAAGTCAGCTCATACATGTTGCAGTTTTGATTCACTTCTTAGGACTGTGCAAACCCCTTAAGTAGCCACCCGATGTATCTTAGCTTTCAGAACACTAACATCTTTGCCTGTTCAAATGTATAACACATTTTTAAAGTATACAGTATACCCTTGGATACTAAGTATTTGATGAGAAAAGTTTCTCTGTCCTAGATGAAGAGAACAAAAAAGAAATGCTCCTCTTAAATTATGACAAAACGTAGATAAACCAAGTATTCAAACATCATTTAAGTTGCCTGCTATCTAATTTTCTTTCTATCAATACTGCCAGTGTATCACAGTGCATACTCTATCATCAAAAACATTGAATGCAACTGGAAAAAAGATAAAAGGATATTTAGGGAACAAATAAACAACAATTAGTATGATGCCCTGACTTACTTTATGCATAGCCTAATGCTCCTTTACAAATCAGCGGGTGGTACTTCCAGGTACCAGCTCTTTAACATAATCTTTCAAATGCCAGGCAAAAGTGTACAATACCATATGTCAAAGTTAGGTGCCACTATTGAAAAATTGAAGTGCTGCAAGAGTATTGGCAGCATCTGTAGATCCTGACTGGAATATTTTCATTGAATAATGAAGCATTTGATTGTATCTATTACAACTTCAACATATGACCGTAAAAATGTAATCTTTTATTTTTTTCCAGTACTCTCAGGGAAATAAGTCTTAGACTCTTCTCCTTTCAAGTCTAAAAACATCTTGAGATAAAATACTCTGTCTCTCCAATTCCTTTGTTTGTGGTTTAAAATGTGAGAAGTGATGCATACTACAAAGAGCACATGGAAGTATCTTCCTGATAGGTTCCATTGCATCTGAGTCCTTCCACCAAATCTCATTTTTAGAATGGTAGATGCAACTTTACGTAACAGAGTTCCTGTAGGCCAGGTATTTTAGTTAAATAGTAAATAATGCCTTCTTAGTTGTTGATAACTATTTAATTTGTGTTTAAACTCAAAATTGTATATGTACGGGTCCAGTTTTAAAAATGATTAAGATTAAAGTAGGCTTCCAGACTCGCTGTCAGGTCTACATACTCTTCTGAGGTTTGATGTGTTGACAGTTAAATGAACAGTAAAGCTACATAGAGCCTAAGCCATTTTGTTTATTTTTATCATGTATTTTTTTTATGTGTGTTATGATATCTAGCAACAGCTTGACTTATTTTTCTTTGCTGTTTTTTTTCTGTAGGAGAAACTAACTTCTGAATGCATCTTTAGGGAACAGTTTGAAGAGAACTGGTACAACACTTACTCATCCAATGTGTACAAACATGGAGATTCGGGGCGGCGATACTTTGTAGCACTGAACAAAGATGGTACTCCCAGAGATGGGGCAAGGTCCAAAAGACACCAGAAATTCACTCATTTCTTGCCCCGGCCTGTGGATCCTGAAAGAGTTCCAGAACTGTACAAAGATGTCTTAGGATACAGCTGAGGAGGGAGGCTACTGTGGGGAAACCCCCCACACAATGGATCTGTTGCCCCTACTTTCATGGCAATACCAGCATGAGAAACCTGCAGAGATCTGGGATGATGGATTGGAAGAAGCTACTTTGTGATAGGCAAACATCTATTTTATAACCTTTGGATTTAGGAGACAAGCCTTAAAGCTGGCAGTGGACCATCCTCCTTCAAACCTGCTGAACTGTTTGGTAGCCAGTAACCAGAGGGAAGTTGGAGTGTGACTTTTTAAAAATAAGAAAATCTTGGCAAATTTGTCTGGATTACCTGTAGTCTGTGAATTAGCAGAGGGCTACCTGCATCACACTGATGAGATGACAGCTGGAAGAAATAGAAATAAATGGACTGTAAAATAGTAATAAATCCTGAGAACTGTATATGAAGTCATAGTGTCTCCACTTTAGCAATGGATCTTAGATGTTGATGCATCATAGAGCTGGAACTTTTCTTCAGGATGGACCTATTTATACATCTCCAGATAGCATATATTTATTTTATATATTTATTTATTAAAGAGTTTATTTTTTACTGGGATATGAAGAGAATACAAGCCCCTAACCCCAATGAAAAATCATTTACAGTGCCAATATTTACACTTGAGTAGTATCATGAGGCAGAAATGACATTACATTGCAATGCATCCAAACCCTGAACATTCATATTTCATTGCTTGTCAGTTACAGATAAGGTTATATTTTATGCACATACCATTGCCTTGTGACTGTCCTTATTTTTTAAAAGAATGTTTAATTTTTAAATTTTTTTACCTATGAGAGTGCCTTACAGATCTGTATTGAATTCCAATGCACATTTAAAAAGGGAATTAAAGGTTATTTCACTTTATTTGGTTTACTGTCATTTTTAAATTGAGAGTCACTTAGCACACTATGTGTAACATTTCAAACCTGCAACATTTGTGACATGTATTGCAGTTACCTTGAAAGAAAAAGTGTTAGCTCTTGAAATCTTGATGCAAATCACGGTATGCTTGATTTCTTTTTTTCTTTTTGCCAAATGGTTCCTGCTGTCTTTACTAACAAATAAATGTTCTCTGAATTACTTAAAATTTTAATGTATGATTCTCAACACTATATATTTTTATTATATTCTCTATCAATACATTCAAGGAGAAACAGTATCAGAGTAAGAGGTTTCTGATACTGCTGAATGGAAAGCTTCAGTGAAGGTTGTTTTTCCACTGAATGCAGAGGAGCCAAAGGAGGCTACTTCCTCATCTTAATTCCTCCTTTAAGGAATAATCTCTGTAGAAGATTTTGTATGAGGACTGTCAGGACAAAGGTGAGCTATGTCTCTATGCTAGTTAGTTACAGCTATACAACAGATCACACTAATTTACAGTAACTCAGGGCTGTCAATTATGAAGCACAACCTCATCTACATATTGACTAATGGGGGAGTTTCTGCCCTCTGTAAGAATACTAAGGGTTAATGACAGAACCTATATGATTTAGACCTAAACTTGCTGAAGCTTGCTGTCAGGTGATTACCACCTCCATGGCAAAGGTTCCAGAAAAAGGCCTGCAAGAAAGTCCAGGAGAGGGCAGCAATATTTATAATGTACCAGAGGTGTGCTCGTGTTTCAGGTGCCAACGCTCCCAGTGGGCTCCAACTCATTTTAGCTCAGTTTTGTGGATGTGATTCAAGTACTGCATATGCATCATTTATGTCTAACCAAGATATTGACAAAAAACATTTTCCAGTATATAACACGCTTTCTAGAGCCATTACAATATCTCAACTTCTTTCAATCTATAAAAAGAAGTGGATGAGCATAGATTACTGATGGACTGCAGATAAAATCATTTTGCACTCTGCCAAACAGAAGTTGAATGCAGATACACAAAAAAGTTTCAGCACTCTGTGGCTAGCAAAATGCAATTTAGAAAGGTTAAAGGTTTCATTATAACATTCTGCAAAACAGGCAGTGGAAGTTCTACTATGCACTGAATGCAGTTTAATAAAATACTATTGTAATGCACTTCAGCTTATCATAAAATAATGATTTTATGGATGACACTGAGTCACATTAATAATAGATCAATAACTGAGAACTAAAGTATTTGCTTTAAATAGATTTTTTTTTTTGCTCTGCATGTTAAAACGTAATTTATTCCATGTAAATTGTGTAAAAAACCAGTGGCTGCTGCTCAGGGCATAATTCCATGCATTTCTGGCAAACGCAGTGTTTAAGTCATACCAAAAATAGAATCATCTTTCTTTGGATTAGCAGTTTACTGTTAATCCAAGTACCTCAAAAGTACTTTGAAGATGGCAAAGGCTGTAATCCTTGTTATTATTGTTATTATGCATCTTTCTTTCACAGATATGACACAGTCCAGAACAGTAACCTGGGATAAGTGGTGAATAATCAGCTGAAACTTCTGCATCCAAACACCTAGCCAACATTCAGATGAAGAAAGCAATATGTACTTTTCATTTGTTGCCCCATTCCCATTTTAGATATATGCCAATAATCCTTGAACAAAATGTAATGGAGCAGGTATGGTGGTGATGAATGACTGTATAAAACCTCCAGAGCATTAAAAATCTGTCACAGCCTCCTTTTTTAGTTCTCATGTACTGCCATTGAAGAAAGATACTGCATTTTCCTATTTCATTTTGCTTGCAGCATTTCTTTATTCTCTGTTACGTTCTGTCCATCATGATCTTCAGGTGCAGTTAATGTTTTTCTAGTTTGAAAATGGCAGATGCAAAAGTAACACCTCAAAATAGCTCTTTTCAGATGTCGTTAGACTAATAACTTCAGTTGTCAATGGTTGTTTTTATTTGTGTGGTTTCAGAACCCCAACTGGATAAAAGGGGAAGGATTGGTTTTGTTTAACCAGGAGAATTAATGATCAAGTTTACCGCTCTACATTTTGCGTAGCCCTATCAATCTGAAAGCTGTGGGGCTGCTGTCATACAAAGGGGTTCAGAGGAAATCTCTGAAGGCAGAGAAAATGTCAGTGGCTGCTGTTTTTTTGTCTTTCCTTTTTTGAAGGGAAGGAGAACCATTCAAGGTAGTTATGGATTTTGTATAGAAGGTGCAGCCCCACTTTCTGCTTCTCACTGATTCTCCTAGTAGCTGTAAAACTTGTCCCTTTGATCTCTGAGCTGGCTGGAAATTGAGTTTTCTATGCCAGTTCTATATTTCTTCACATGCTTTGTTTTCTGCTGCTTTCTTTTCCAAGTTGTGTCAGAAATAATATACTGGCCATGCAGGAGATTTTCTGAAACCCAGGGGTAACCTTGACTTCTGAGCATATTTGAAGTAAAATTGTTACTTTTATTAATCTTTGTGCTCTTGGTCAGAATGCAGATGGTAGTATTTTTAACAGTCTTTTGTGGAAGTCTTCCAGCTGTAAGAGTTATAAGATATAGGAGAACCCAAATGCCTCTGGAAATGGGTATTTTTTATTAGGCAAGCTGATATAATCAGAAAAAGAGAGAGTAGTCAACAGGCACACAGTCCGTCCTTTGGTCTGAACCATTTGTGTGTGCATGGAGCAGTTTGGCCCTGTCTGTGTCTTCAGGTTTTCTGTCATAAGCTTATTGATGTTATCCTCATGCTCAGGTGTGGCAGCCCAGCTTCACTGATTCTATCTGAAACTTCAAATAGCTGATATGGCCATGCACTCTGGTAGCGCTCCAGGGTTGTGCAGAATTTAACTTCTGATATCTGAGAGTCATTTAGCAAGTACATTTTAATATCAGCTTCAATTTCCAGCTGTTTTAATTTGTTAACTCTTTTTCATAGCCAACCAATCATGCTTTAGTAGCTTTGTGAAGTTTTACTTAAACAGAGGTCTTTACCAGCAGCAGTATGGGCTATGGGTGTGATTATTATTATTTGTTTTTTCAGTTTATGTAATCATATTAGTACCGTTGTACCATGGCTCTAGTTATACCATTGCAAACCATTACGTTTACCGTGCTCCTTTTTTTTTTTGTACAGCAAAGAACTAAACAGAGCTCAGCCAGTTTTATACGCCATAAATGCATCTTCACTATTGCTTTAATGTACTGGACCAAGCCTGTGTCATAAATACTGAGAGCACTGTGGTTAAGATGCTTAAGTTTTGTTCCATACTGCATGGAGATGCTATCAGCAAGGAGGCCTTTTTGGAAATCTCTGCATTTGATCCTTTTGCTTTTCATGAGAGAAAAAACTATTAACTTCATTGCTATTAAAGTTGCTGCAGTTATTTGGTGGGGTTTTGGGTAGTGCAACCATTTGAAGATTGAAGTTATAGGAACATAACTATGGCTGCATGAGATCAGACCACACCACATCTCTGCTGCATGGGGAAGAGAGTAGAAATAAAGTTTATATTCTGGGCATTCACAGTAGAATCCTGACTAAGATTAGGACCTGGCTAGGATTAGTCAATTCTCCTCTGGGTCATTTCCTTTTACGAGGCAGAAAAGAGAAGTAAACGTTTTACAACATTGAAGAACATGATGGTGGAGTTCTACACTTCCTGGATGTCTGCATCAACCTGTGCTTTATCAGACATTTCTCTCAAAACACTTTCCTTTGCTGTGGTGTATTCAGCTGCTGTGGTGAAATTGTTGCTGTTCGTTTACTTAGTGTATGTCTGACATACTTAGTGTCATGTATACGTGTTCTTGTCTCAGTACAAGGCAATAAATAAATTTCTCTATGGTAGAGAGAAAAAGAGAACATTCTGAAGTTATTCTATCAAAATGTTAATCAGGAAAGTTTGGTTTATGGTGCTAATTGCAGCTAAGTTTTTGATACAAAGTTTGCAGCACTTCACAGTGCTGCACTATCGTGCTGTTAAGAACCCTTAACAGTCTGAGATTCGTGGGCATAAAACCAGAAAGGTGTAAAAGGTTCTCAGGTGGAACATACTTAACCATGACATCTTTATGAATAAGATGTGTGCAAATAGGGTGAAAAAAAACCTAAACAGGGAAGAGGTCAAACAGTTACTTCTATTACCAGTTGGAGAGAGATTAAGTTTCAAACAGAAATTGGTTGGCAGCTTGCCAAAATAACTGTTTCATCTGCAACATGATCAGACACTAGAACCATTCTGGAAGTTCAGGAAAAAGAGAAATTACTGAATTAACACGGTGGTGACAGTAGCACTCTGTATTTCAAACACATCCAAAATGGTTTTGGTGTTCTTTTATCATAGAAAATCTCTAGTAATTGCAATTCACAGGGAAAGGAGTAAGAGTTTTAGAAAGGTGGTCTACTGAAAGTGAGTCTTTCTGTGATAAAGTCCTGGTTTATATATTTTCTCTAATTATACGAAAACTTAATCATGCTTTATTCACACTTAAAATATCACAAACCACTGCCATGGATATCTTCAAATATTGAGTGTTACTTGATTTATGAATAGAGCTCAAGTTAAATCACATTTGTCTCCCAAATATCATTTTTTATATATATACTAGCATATATTCATGGAAAATGCTTCTAAAATTACAAGCATTTCCTTTGTTCCTGGCAGTAATAGTCTCAGGGAACATATCTTTTTTTTTTATTATTTATGTGAGATCTACCATCCATCTCTAATTGCAGTGGCTGTAAGGTGCCAGAGACACGAACATGGGGCTTATGGTGGCTAGATTTGGGTTAGGGTGGTTTCATCTGTACATGATTGAGAGTATCAGAAGGAGGTGATAGGCTTATACCTATGATAGTGCTTAGACCTATGAGTTTTAGCAGTTAACCCTTGTTGTGCTGAAACTTCTAGGTAGGAGCATAAAGTAATATTAGCTACCAAGTCATGAATATCCTTATAATGCTAATTCTATGTCTCCTATTTTGCTTGAGCCAGAAGAAT